CAACTAAACTAAAAGACACTTGTTGGAAGGTCCAGTGATCGTTGAAATGGGCGGGTGCCAGGTCATTTTCATTTTTCATTAGCCAAGTGATTGCCGTTTGCTTCCTCTGTGTTCAGCTGTTTGCTTCTTCATCAGCCAAATTTAGAAAAATTAAAATTAAAAAAAAAAACGCTGTTTGCTTCTTCACCGGGCTTCCTCTCTCATCGTCGGTCGTCTTCATCGCTTCTCAAATCTAATTCACCACCACTGCACTGCCACCACTCACTCGTTCACATTTCACTGTGTCACACTCACCGACTCAACGATTCGTTGCCATTGTTGTCCTCTGATTTTGGCTCTTCTTCCCTCCGAGTGAGCCACTCAGTTGCTCACCGATCCGCTCTCGGGCTCTTGGTTTGGTGCCCTCTACCATGGCCAAGAAGAATTCAGTTCAGAGGGATTCGTCTTCCGACGAAGAAGACGACCGCCACAACCTAATCGAGCAGAACGAGAGGAAGCCCCCTTCTCCCCCCACTACCATCACCTCCACTGCATTCCACGTGGAAAATTTCAGCTCTCGCATTCCCCGTTTCAATTTCAATTTCAAGTTCCAGAAGAGGTACTTGTTTGCTATTCTTCCTCTCTTCATTCTCCTATTCTACTTCACCACCGATCCCCACTCCCTCTTCCCCACCCACCTCTCCTCTCTCAAGTTCGATTCCCTCGCCGATCAAATGAAGGAATCTGAGTTGCATGCTTTATATCTCTTGCGTCAACAGCAATTAGGTCTTTTGGGTGTTTGGAACAGAACATTTAACGAGTTGTCGTTGTCCTCTGTGAATTCCACGGTTGATTCGAATTCGAGTTCTCAAACGGCGGGGGTGAATCGCTCGCCAGAGCCATTGTTGGAAGATCTTAAATCTGTGTTATTTAAGCAGATATCTTTGAATAGAGAGATTCAAGATGTTTTACTGTCTCCCCATAGGACAGTGGGCTTGGTTGAACCTGAATTTGATTTTGGGAATGGTAGTTTGGGTGGGGATGTACGTTATGGTAGATGTAGAACGGTGGATCAGCATTTTTCGCAACGAAGAACAATCGAGTGGAACCCAAAGGCTGATAAGTTTTTGCTGGCTATATGCGTTTCGGGTCAGATGTCCAACCATCTGATTTGCTTAGAGAAGCATATGTTTTTCGCTGCTCTTTTGAACCGGGTTTTGGTTATTCCTAGTCATAGAGTTGATTACCAATATGACAGAGTGTTGGATATTGATCACATAAATAAGTGCTTGGGAAGAAAGGTTGTGATCTCCTTTGAAGAATTTTCTAATATCGAGAAGCATCATATGCACATAAACAAGTTTTTATGTTACTTTTCACAACCCCAACCTTGCTTTCTTGATGAAGAACGTTTAAAGAAGTTGAAGTCACTAGGTTTGTCATTTACTAAACCTCAACCTGTCTGGGATGAGGATACAAGGAAGCCCAAGAAGAGGACGGTTCAAGATGTTTTGTCTAAGTTTGCACATGATGACGATGTAATGGCTATTGGAGATGTTTTCTTTGCTGCAGTGGAGCAAGAATGGTTAATGCAACCAGGTGGTCCAATTGCCCACCGATGCAAGACTCTTATTGAGCCCAGCCGACTTATTTTGCTAACTGCTCAGCGATTTATTCAAACATTCCTGGGAAGGAACTTCATTGCCTTACATTTTCGAAGACATGGCTTTTTGAAATTTTGGTGCGTGCATTCTCATCCCTTCCCAGTACTAACCCAATTTAGATGTGCATTATGTCTGGAAATACGGCATTATAGATTATGACCTTACTATGATATTTTAATGTAAATTTTGCCTGCATTGGAATGCTTCTATGAATTGAACTGCCCTGCAAGGTTTCTTTTTGTTTCTGGTATCATTTATATTTGCCTCTGATGATCTGTTTTCATGTTTTCAGTAATGTGAAAAAACCAAGTTGCTTTTACCCCATTCCTCAAGCTGCTGATTGTATCTTGAGGGTGGTTGATAGGGCCAACGCACCTGTTATCTATCTTTCCACGGATGCAGCAGAGAGTGAAACTGGTCTACTTCAGTCACTAGTGGTACTAAATGGCAAGCCTATTCCACTTGTTAGACGCCCAGCTCGTAATTCAGCAGAAAAATGGGATGCTTTGTTATACAGGCATCATATTGAAGGGGACTCTCAGGTGAGATGACAGTGCTACTTTTTTGGGATCTAAATTTAAATTATAGGATTGTAAACTGTAACCTCTTTTCATGAGCACATATTATTATATTTTCCTACTGAATCTACTAGATGGATATTCTGGTTTTTCTACTTTTGACTGAAGTTCAGAATTAACAAAAGCTCTGAGACGCCCTTGGATCCTAGGTGGTATGATTTAGTTCTTGACATCTATGTGTAGATTTATTGTTTATGTTCGTTACTATAGGGATGATGGCGGTGCCCACTGCTATGAATATGCCTTGTCTTTTTAATTATTTATCTTGTATCCTTGCACACAAAACAAATATATTTGCCCTTTCAGATCAATTTGACTAAGAATCTGTGTTCTATTCATACAAATCTAATTATTATATTGGTAGTGGCAAGGCTCAACATTTTTCAGGATAATTTGAAAGTTTTAAGGGCTTTAGTCTATGGGATGCTCAACTTTTTTGCTTTCAATTGTGCTATGTGGTTTTTAACATATTTGTGATTTGTGATTGGATCTTTAGAATAGAGGTCTAAGATAATTGGGCCTGTCGTCGATGATTTATGTGTAAACTCTAACAAGTCATGTAATAGCTTATAATTATTTACTTAAATGCTAAGTATAAAATTATGATAGCAGATGGCAGCGTTCTTGCTGCCATACAAGGCATTCTCTACTTAAATTGTCTAGTTCTGTTTTATTTTCCGTTTTGGTTGTGGAGGAGGAGTCTCTTAGGGTATGTTTGGCTCAATGAGAGGAAGGGGAGGGCAGGGATTTTAATGGAAGGAAGGGGAGGGGAGGGGAGTGGAAGGATTTTAATATTATCTTGTTTGGATTTATAAAAAAAGAAGGGAGGGGAGGGAAAAATATTTTAATATGGACAATTTTGTTCTTATTTTATTTAAGATATGGGCATAATAGTCACAACATGACAAAATATGAGTATAATGATCACAACATGACAAAATATTGCCCTTCCCCTCCAAATCCTCCCAATTTTGGAGGGGAGGTTGAGGAGGGGAGGGGAGGGAAAATTTTAAAAAATTTTCCCTCCCCTCCTAAAATTTGTATGTTGCCAAACAAGGGAAAATGATTAAAATTCCTCCCCTTCCCTCCCCTTCCTCCCAAATCCCTCATACCAAACACACCATTATAGTCCATGAAATATTGTTTATCAGTACTGTTTGACTTTTGCCTGAAATATAAGTTAATGTAATCTAAAGCAAATTTAATATTATCATGATAACAAAAGTTGTTTACCTCCTCCTTCATCCATCCTACTTTGAGTGCCTGACTGTCTGATTTCTCCCTGAAGTGCTAATATTAACTTTTTTGAATTATTGATTTCGGTGATTTTAGAAAATCAGAGGGTTCAAGAGCTTTACTTTCCCTTCTTTCGCCATTGCTTCGTTTGTGGAATGATGGAATGGAACTAGATGATTGAGAAACCTCTTTGGCATATTATGTGTGCTAATTACTTTAGAAACGATAAGTTTTCTGAGTCCTCTTTGTTCGTTACCTCTGGATTCCTTTGCCTGCTGACTATCTATAAATATTTTGATGCTGAAGGTGGAAGCAATGTTGGACAAGACTATATCTGCTTTGTCTAGTGTGTTCATTGGAGCCTCTGGTTCCACTTTCACTGAAGACATCTTGAGGCTTAGAAAGGATTGGGGATCGGCATCACTATGTGATGAGTACCTATGCCAAGGTGAGGAACCTAATATTGTGGCTGAACTAGAATGAAGACACCGCGGGATTATACGTCGTTTGTGTAATTATGACCCCAGAACTTGTCCTAACATAGGTTTCATTGGCTTTTGTCAATGTGTATCTGTCGTGTATGATATGAATAATGTAAAATTAGTGATTCGGATAATAAGTATTGCTTCTTACATGTATTCTTTGAACCCAGTGAGTAGTGTTAATAATGTAAGCATAAAATTTGAAATTGGCTCTGAGATTATTTGGTTCTTTAACATCCAATTTCTGCTTTCTTGTTTTTGCGGAAATGGAACCGGTTGACAGCGACTCATGAGCTTCAACCGAACTGATTAGCCAATAGGAAAAGGGAATTCTCAGAGAATCTTGTGTGTCTAAATAAAACAGCACGAGGCTAGTTTTCAATCTTTGTTTTCTGTTGCAGTAATTCTTGCATTGTATTTAGAGCCTATTTGGAATTACGTTCAAAAACACTTATAAACATGTTTCACGTAAACTGAGACAAAACCATATCATATACTTATCTCATATTCTATACTTATCTCATATTCTATAAACATGATTGAAAAGTTGCTTGTAAATCATTAATGCTCTTTGGAGTGGCCCATAAAGAGAGAATATTTAGAAAGATTGATTTATTGATGACCAACGATGCTTTTTTTCTTTTTGTGTACAAGAGAGGGCTAGAGCCCAACGAGGAAACTTGGGGATTAGATCCCAAGCTTGTTTGTTTTGTTTTTGTTTAAGATATCAAATAATTTAATCCTCATATTTTATCCAAAATTTCAATTTGATCTCCAAAGTTCTATATCCGGTACATTGGCTGTTGTATAGTTTGTACTGTAAAACAAGTTAGTGCTCGTATTTTTCCAATTTTTTAAATCAAGTTCCTATAAATTTTATATTTAGAATTGCAAGTAGTATGTATATATATGCATGCTAAAACGCCTCCAAATGATGTGCATAGTCAACAGAAGAAATTGAAAACAATCAACTGGGCATCTTGGATTCTGTTCTTGGCTGCACCTTTTACCACTTTCATGTTACTAATAAAAGAAATGAAAGGACACTCGTATTGACCTTCATGGAATCGGGGGTCCCAACTCCGAAACCGCCAAAATCACATCCTCCTCCTTCGGTACACAAGCTCAATGAAGAAATAAATTTGCATAACGTCTATATATGATATAAAAATTGTAATAACACATCATTTATAAATTATAAATTACCCTAGTTTGTGTTGATGCCTTCCTAAAGAAACTGAAATTAAGATACTGAGGTTGTGCTTGTGCCAAACATAAAATAAACTAAGCTTCATAATGCTGGAAAAGTAACTTTATCAAAAAAAAAAAAACTGGAAAAGTAACAAATTATTGAACAACGTCCACCAGAAAAAGCATCGTTTTTTAACTTCTAATATCCAAAAACAATTGCATGCATGTTTGTACCTGTGTATATAAGAAAACAATACATCCCTATACTCATTCTGTATTGTAATATCTTTTTATCTGACATATATATAATTGTCTTTTTATTAAAAAAAAAAACCAGCATATTATAATGGCCCTCTTTTGTTCTTCATTTTTCTCCCCTTTTCACTCTTTTTCTCAACATTAAGGGTATGTTTGGGATAACAGTGAAAATAATTTATAAGCACATTTCACCAAGACAACACTCCTCTCATATATTTATTTCGTATTCTGTAAATTACAATTGAAAAGTTACTTATAAACTATTCCAAATAAGCTCTAAATAGTATGTTATAGGCACCAAAATGCAAATCTATAAGTTCGTTATGGAAATGTAGAAGGGGAAAAAAGTTCAGTGGACAAAAAGAAGTTATGAAAAATATAAGTGATGCACAGTTGTTCTAATAGTCTCTCTCTCTCTCATTTTCTTTTTCTTACATTCAAACAAAATTACATTAAACTTATAAAAGAAGTACCTAAACTATTAACCAAAAGAGCATATTGCTTTGAGTGCTTTCTATAATGTTTTCGCTTAATTTTTTATTTAGTTCTTGTAATAAATATTTCTATTTCAAGCTAAATCTTTGTAGTTTGAACAATCTTAAGGGAAATTTAAAAAAAAAAAAGCACCTCAGCTCAACGCGTGAGGGGTGATGAGAGACGACACACGTTTGGTAATTCTTCTTAACAAGCTGCAAAATATAACAACAGAAAATACGCCCCAAATTATATCACCCTACTTCTCGTGGGATTTGGTATCAGTTCTTTCAGCAATCAGAACACAACACTTCAGCTGGTCCCTAGAGAATCTCCACGTGGCGTTTCTAAATTGGTCAGGACATTGTTGCCTACTGGACTGCACGGCACTCGGCAGCAGGGAATCATAGAAGCGGCAACACGTTGGGCGTTTGCATATCGCAATGATTACTTGCTCTCTCTCTCTCTTCAGTGCAGTGTAATGCTTTTACCGCTCATTTGTTCTGCAGCATAACAAATTTGCATTTGCTCCCCATTTTCTCTCGGAGGATTTTCTTGCTTTTCTTCTCGGGAATCAAACACCAGACATGAAAAAGAAGCTGCTTTGAGGGCACAGATTCAGCAATCAGGTGTCTTATGCTCATTTGGAAGTTGTTTGATAGTAATTTCTGTTGCTCTGTTTTTCCCATTCACATTGAATACTAAATGCTATGAACTTCTGCAGTTCATGGAGCAATTGGACGACAATGCCGCTAAAGATATGGTCTCCCCCCTCCTCATCTTCCTTTAGTAAAATAGAATGCTTGTTTTCTTGCTACGTGATTTTAACTTTTCGGCGCCCTTTCAATTTCAGAGAGAGTAGAGTATATCTGTTCAGTATAATTGCACATGCTCTTCATCGCGTGTGCATTTCAGGGTTTTAATGAAACTCCTACGTAGAAATCAGTTTCATTCGGTTTAATCGTCTTCTGCAGTCATATACATATTAATAATGATGTGTTGAAGCGCACAATCTCTATTATTATTAAAATTAAAAATGATTATTATTCTACATAATTACGCGATACCAATGCATTTAAGGCAGTTGATCATATTATGGCCAAAAAGAAATAGTTGTACGAATGAGATTATGGGATACTTTTGCAGGAGAAGTTGTACTTGAAAGAGAAGGATCAAGGCGATGTCGACGGCGCACAAAACCCATGTTCGGACAAACATATTGCGTTGTCTCCACTCTCCTCTGCACCAATCTGTACCCAAGGTGAGGCAACATCGTTCACCGTCCTCTGTTTCCTATCATCGCCTACTAGTAGTCTGTGATCCACACTTTTGTTTCATACCCATTTGCTTGCGCTTTCATCCCCTTGATAACATATATGTTGATTCTATCATTGTCCTTTACATTAACCGATTTTCACTCTGTTCAAACCTTCAGGGGCTTGTGAGCATTTAATAGTAGGCCGATTTTATGAAATCAATCATTCCAAGCTTCCACTTAAATGCCCAGATCATTTAAGGTCTGTCCGTGTTGTCATGGTATGGCTTCTAATAACCTCATCACCTTTCTTTGTAAATGTTCTACTGTATAAAAATAAAACCTTTATGTCGTTTGCTTTTCTTGACGAGCGGATTCAGCTCAGTGATATGGGAAAGCTTCAAGTGTCAGTTAGGTACCCAAGCATGCAGTCTCTACGCGTACAGTTCAACGATGCGGACGATGGGAAACCAGGCAAAAAAAAGATCCCTGCGCTTGACGAGAAGTATATGATGGAATCAGGATTTGCTAGTAATGCGCTATACAGGAGAGTCTCGACGGAGGAGTTAGCCGAAAGAGGAAACTCGTGGAGTTTCTGGATTACAACCTCTGAAGAAAATCAAACGAGCAAAAGCCCTTTGTTCATTGATGAGGAAATGGATCCGGTTTCCAAGAAGGGTTCGTGTTGGTCTCAGCTCAAGTATTCTGGGATGATGCAGTGGGGTAAGCGTCGATCAGTTCGATTCTTAGGCCAGCATAAGAAGAAAAGTTCAGAATCTTTATCAGGATCTGGGAATGACCCTGGGTTTGATGTAAAAGAACAAAATGAAAGAGAGCAAATGACTGGTAGAAAGAGAAAGAAATGTGAAGAAAACGAGCTTACAAAGGAAGTGTCAAGTGAAATCAGGACGACTCGTAAAAGTGAGAGAAATCAAAATCAATGTAGTGAGCTTCAGAGATTGAAGAAAGCACAGCATGGTAGGCAGAATCAACTGGTAGTATACAACAAAAAGAAGCATAAAATTTCAATTGACAGATGGTCTGCCGAGAGGTAAATCTAATTATACTTTGCTTATTATTCCGAAAATGTTAATAATTTTGTAAACTTATATAGTGATTGATCATTCAGAAGCTTCTCTGCAATTTTACATTGTTGCAATCTATAATGATAACTTGTGTATTTGAAGGTATAAGTTAGCAGAGGAGAACATGCTGAAGGTGATGAAAGCTAAAGGAGCAGTTTTTGAAAAACCAATATTGAGGCCAGCCTTGAGATCAGAGGCTCGAAAGCTGATAGGTGATACGGGTTTATTGGATCATTTGCTAAAGCACATGGCAGGAAAAGTGGCTCCTGGCGGAACTGAGAGATTTCGACGGCGACACAATGCTGAGGGAGCGATGGAATATTGGTTGGAGAGTGCTGATTTGGTTAAAATTAGACAGGAAGCAGGGGTTCAAGATCCCTATTGGACTCCACCCCCTGGATGGAAACTTGGGGACAACCCTTCCCAGGATCCCATTTGTGCAAGAGAACTTCGCGAGATAAAAGAAGAAATGTCTAAACTGAAACGGTAATCCTTAGTTCTTAACTATTTGACCATTCCATCTTTGCAATAGTACGAGTACATAGCCATGCTTTTCATGTTATAAGGATATAGTTGAGACTCAACTTTATTCGCATATATTACTCAAATATTAATATACTATCCTCTTTGTGTTACAAATAGTGAGATGCAACAATTGGTATCCAAGAAGAGCGAGGAAGAATTGGCTATTGTGACTACAGCGAATTCTTGTTTGTCAAATAATATCAATTTGGAAAAAGGTGGTTCCTTGGTTACAGTGCAGGTAATATTTATGAAGTTAAACCTGAAGCTTGATGTTGCGCTTGGTTCTGGACTGGAAAGTCCCTATGATTTGTCTAATCCTGTTATAAGTATTTATGCAAATGGCTATATCGCAGGAGATATATAAAGAGTTGGTGAATAAGAAATCTAAAATTGAAGAACAACTAAAGGATATTTCCATAACTTTGAGCGATATGGAGGTAATTGATATTTATAGCATAGTCCTTTTTTGCTTCTTAAAACGAAGTTTGCTTTAGTTTTTTCGAAACCTCTGTTGATGGGTGGGCATTAGACTGACCAAGTTTTGAAGTTAAATTTTTAGTGTGCAGTCCCCATATATTTTCAAATTTTTTTAGTATGTAGTCCCTATAAATACTTTATTTGGCCTAGGGATGAAGCTTTGTAAATATTAACCTCCATCACCCTATTAGACAGTAGAAACGCCTATTTACTTTCTCTGAGTCTCTGACAAGCAAGGAAAAAATTTAGTTCATAGAATTCTTTGTGTGTGTGTCTGAAGTATGTTTTAATTTTACTCGTGTTTTAGCATCATGGCAAAAATGATCTACTTTCTAGTCATTTAGTCTTATAAAGTCCTATAAAGAGGGAACATGACGCAGGAACAGATAGTGATGTTAAAGTCAAGAGAGGAGCCAAAATCCAAATCAGCGATACCCCCAACATTATTGCCAACACCAACAAAAGTACTAGTTGCAGTGGAAAATTGGGGAGAGACAAAAGAGCAAGAAGGACATAAAAATAGTGAAATCAAAGCAACAGCAGGTGAAGTAGAAAGACCAAGTGAGGACATACAAAGGATTGCAGAAAGTAGGTGGGCAGCTACCGAAGACAGGGCAGCAAAAATTGAAAGGCTGAAAAGTGGATTTCAAATTTGCAAGCCTCAGGGGACCTTCATATGGCCAAAGATGGCCATCATGTCTCCACAAGATGTGGTCCAGCTCGATGATCATATGGGGGTCCCAACTCCATCCTCTGCTTCCTCTTCTTCCTTCCCTGAGCCACCTCCATGGTCTAAGCCATCCTCCTTTTTCAAGCCATTGGCAGAGAGACGCCCGATCAGCGCTACCACTTTAACCCATGTCACCATGTCCGTCCCTCCTCTTCTTTCGCCACCATTGGCAACCTCACCTTCCCAAAAAACTGCCTCTTACAATCCCCCTCTCATCAACCTCAACGAGGTCCCTCCCAAATATGACCCTTCCTCTTGTGGCACTCCCCCTTATTAACTTTCACTAGCTCCCACGCAGCCCTATGTAAGTATCTTATTCTTCCCATCTTAACTCTGCATTTTGTTTTGCTTCTCTACTTGTCCCCTTAATAGGGTAGATTTCTTTTTGGGAAGAAAGAAATCATTTGATTGCTCAAATACGTAATTTTCTTGTTAGTTGGTTGCTATTAATGCATTCTGCTAAACATTTACTTATATGGAATTCAATAAATTAGTTACTTTACAGTATAAATATGATTGATGATGATGCTATTAAATTTTTTTCACCCTAAACAGAAGTTGTTCAGTTAGTGGACCAAAAATTTCTGATAGTCCATATTTTGAGGACATTTACTTAAATCGTACACATGATTTTCTATATTTGGTACAAATGTTGGGTAGATAGGGTTAGCAATGCTATCAAAAATATACAAAAAATTGTTCCTGTGTTCTTACTTTTGACATGAGGAGAGAGAGGTGGATATTCACCAATTTTTTCCTAAATTTTGAATGTATTATGAAAAGTCAAATTGCTGTAATGGGCAAAATATTTTGATTGTTTATTAACTGTTGTACCTTACAGAGTCCAACTGCTACAGAAAAGGAGGCCAGTGGAAAGAAGGAAAAGTATATGGAAAACTCTTAATCTTGTATCGCAAAGAAGAAAGGATGGTGGAATATAACCATGGACAATGGCCTCCCCTAAATTGTTTCTCAGCATATTGTACAAACCCTATTTGAGGTTTCATAAAATATAGACCATATCTTTTTGTATAGCATGCAAGTTGAATGAGGTATAAGAATAGGTGCATCTCTCCTATCTCAAGTAAAAAGAGGTTAACTATAGTCCATATATACATTTAAATGAAATTTATGATGCATATTAAACGAGTTTTGGTTTCTCTGCTATCCTTCCTCTCTAATCTTCTCCTAATGAAGAGAAGAAGAGAGAATAATTAATTAGGAAAAATACTGAATGGCTGTATTTTCCCTGTTCATAATACATGTCGTGTTAGCGGTAATCCACTTTTTCAATTTTAATCTTAAGTTTATGTGGGAAGAAATAGAAATACTATCTGATGCGGCTTTTCATGTTCCACAGGCCCCTTTGTGGACCTAATTCTTGCAAATTTTACATTATTAGATGGATAGATGGATACGTAGATTGCTTAATTCATATACGAAGTGTTAAAATGCTTGTGATAAAGTTAAATGAGCTGGTCAAATTTGGCATTGACCTGCTTCTGTTCAAAAGCTCGACAGGGACGCACGCGAGCGCGCGCACAATTGCCAGTGAGGACTGCTCGTCCGTAACAAAACAAATAGATGCAACCGATAATTTTTCTCGTATTTTATGAAGCCAGTCACTTAGTTATAATTTGCATGATGCCATCTTTTTCTTTTTGCCTGGCCTGACGCCTAATGTGTGCCTTTATACTATCGTGTTTAGGTTATTTTATGTTTAGCTGTAAGTGACGCTACTTTTCCTTTAGAACTGTAATCTTATACTCTTCCACGATTAAAAGGTATTCATCAGCTTCTAAATATAAGATTTTTATATAGTATATATAAAGGTCTCATATTTAGAACAGAAAGAGTAATAAGATAACATATATTTAGCTTTATTAATGAATTTAACAGAAAACAAACAGATTGCTATGAATAGAAATTTAACTAAAATATTTGTACAAGTGAACGATTTTCAAATGTAAATATAGCATGAATCCAAAAAAGTGAGCCGTATATGTGTAAATATTCCTGTGAACAAATTTTTGGATCACGAGACACAATACCAACTTAGTGAATGCATAAGCGGCCAAAAAAAAAACCAACCGAGCACAATAACTAAATAAGAGAATTATAATGAGGTTCCAAACAAGAAAAACAATTAAAAATCAAATTCTAGAAATTGTTATTTTCACTATAAACTTGTCATTATAGGTTGTTAAGGTTGTTATTGAGATTTTTGGTAATTATTTTTCTTTTATGGAATTTGATTGTAATTCTCCTAACTAAATTTTCCTGAACTTTAAAAGAAAAAATAAAATTCGGGTAAAAAAAGAAAAAAGAAAAAAAAAGATGAAAAACGGATGAAAATGTATAATTTTCCTGGAAAAGAGAAACTGAATCCTGTTCTGCAAGTTACAACCAGCGACGACAGCCAAGAGCCTCGGTAATACTACTTTATAGTGTGAAGCTGACTCGGTTTCTCTCACAACCCGCAATCGCATGCGCTTCCTTCTCTTCTATCTTGCTTTCTCACCCTCTATTCTTCGCATCTTGCTGTGTCCGTGTTCGTGTGTATTGTGTGCGGGCCAAGCCAAAGTGCGTCGCTTTTCACGCCTTCTTCGTCTTTCTTTCCTTCCTCTCTTCTTCTGCTTCGTTACTTTCAGCCGGGAAAACTCGACCCCAGCTCACAAAGTCGTTACATTTCCGTTGCTTGCTCTAAAAATCATAGACCCCTTTACACTACCACAGGAGATTCTATACGTGATTTGACGTTTGGAATATACACAGAGTACTACAATCGTTACCAAGTCAAGAGACTGGATCTTAAGTTCTTAACGGACAAAATTATTCTTACTTTAGGAAACCGCTCTGCATTCTGCTTTGTCTCTTTCTAGGGTTTTGCGGCCAAAAGACCTTTGCATTTGGGCTGTATCATGAGAGCCAGATTGGTTGTGTTCCCAATACGAGGTAGGATCTGGTGCTTTAGCCGATCCGCTGACCCGTCCGTTTCGGTCTCTGAGGCTTCCTCTCAGGCTACTACATTCAAAGAGCTTCGCGAAAACGTTTCTATCAGTGGTAAATCCTTTAGCGCCAATGCCGAGCTTTTGGTAGACTTCGTGGCCAACAAGGTGGCTTTCATTGTATTCAGTTCATTTTCGTTGTTAATTCCCTTTTTGTTTCGCAATTTTCTTATCTTTATCCCGTGCCTGATGTCTACGGATGACTAAATTTGGTTGTTGGCTGAAGATGAATAAAGCTTGGATTGGATTGGAAAAGGCACCAGAAGGAAGTTTTAAAAATAAGGTTCATGGGTAAGTATTGCAGTTTAGCTGTCGCTATAAGGTTGCAGATGTTAAAAAAAAATTCTTTGGTAACAATTGTAATTTTGACTTCTTGCAGATTGGGCTTACGGCTTTTGTCGCGGGTTAAGCCGTCTGAGATATTTTTAAGATCTATAACAAAGGACATTACTCGGGTTGAAGTGATTTACCCATCTAGGTCGGTGCCTTGGTGATCTATTAAGTTATTTCTAGGTTGTCACTCGGGATATAATTCCTTCGTGTAGTTTCCACTTATTTCTTGATGAGGAAGCAGAAAACTTAGATATAGGTTTGCTTCTTTTAGGTGTTATAATAGTGGAAAAAATTTTGCAGTTTGGATGCTCGACTTGTTCGCCGAAGACTAAGGCATGTGGCCATGAGGTATTTTTCTTGGCCTAATCATGACGTTGAACTTGTCACTTTTTATGTTAATCTCATCTTGCTTGGACCTTATTATTTGATCGTTGTTTTTTTAAAGTTCCGAGTTATAGGCCTCTGGCCACTTGTGGTTCTTACAACTCCTAAATGGAGTTGATGCTACCCATTGCATTCCTAGACTACTTTTGCAATATATTCTGAATGCAAGGGCACTTGAACTTAGGTGGCCCGATATATATAAATGTGAGAGTAATGTAAGCAGTGCAATTCTTTTCACTGAGCAGCTCATTAATCTGTGCGGCTGAGGTTGCGCATAAGCATCTTTTATATTGTTCTTTTGAGGGATCCTTTTTACCTGCCCGTAACAAAAATTGGAATGTAATTCCATCGTGGTACAAGCAGATTATATCTGCCTTTTACAATTCTACTAGTCCATGATTACTATTGTTGTCAGGTGGTGTTGTGCTATATAGTCTTTGTCGTATTGTCAAGTGATGGTTTCATTTTCTCAATTAATCTGCCCCTGCTGTCCGGGTATGCTAAGTGGCAGAATGGAAGAGGCATATGTCAGAATTATTTACTGCATAGTTATCCAAAGAGTTCTCTAAGTTCAATTATGTGTTTGGTCTTGAGACATCTCTGTTTGATTCTTTTTTCTAGATGAAACATCATTCTCTGACTCTTGTATAGCTTCAACAAATTGATTGAAGTTTTATAGGTTAATTTGAAGTGTGTTCTTCTGGCTTTTTTGGTTCAATTTCAAGTGTAAGTGAGGTTGTCATATTGATGAGTTGTTTTATATTTACAGAGGAACAATCATCCACAAGAAATACTTGTATGGTTCAGTTTCAATGCTTCCACTGACCTCTTCCCTTGCCGTACGTATGTGTTTTGTAATTTTTACTATCAATAATACTGCTTTGCAAGGAGGTTCAATATGGTGCATTTGTGCTCTTCTAAAATTTATTAACTTTTCTGCTCCAATGTATTACCGTATATATCATGCAGGTTTTACCTATGCCTAATGTCCCGTTCTTCTGGAATTTATTTCGAGCTTATTCTCATTGGAGAGCCCTTCAGGTGCATACAGTTGTTTTCCTGGGGCCGATCATACAGATGCAAAGTTTGTATAGTAGTTGTGTATTTTCATTTTCCCTTTGCTATCACTCGTGATATTGCAAAATGATCGTCACAATCAAGGACATCTACTTACTTGGCATTGCATTTTTGTTGTCAAACTCTCATACTGTCATAGGGTGGTGGCCACTGCTTTAAACAGTAAAACCATGTGGCAACAATGAAATTTATATAACAAAATTTCATTTCCTATATGCACTAAAACTGATACTTCAATCTTAAAAGTCTTTGCAAATACAGACTGATAGGCTTGTTGGCTGGGACTCTAGAAATCTAATTGGCGCATGTAGATAGTCACTTTTTCAATACATGAACTAGCACTGAATCGCATAATTATTTAAGCCCATGATTTGATTTGATCGGGAGTGACTTTCCAGTAGGATGGTATCTTTTGTAGTCCTTAATCTTTTTCATATTATGTTTGGAACTTTGATTATTTGTCTTTCTCTTCAAT